AATTATATTGGTACATATTCCTCCATTCTTGCATGACTGAGATAATGTAGAACACTCATCAACATCAAGTTCACATCGCTTCCCAGTAAAATTAGCAGGACAGCTGTAGAAGTTGAGAGGAATCAGTGAATCAAAAGCATCTCATTTGCAGTGAAATATAGGAAATTGATTATGAATCTACTTAAGATAAAGAGGCTCACTCTAACAACAGAGGAGATTATCTTGAGAGCTCTAATAATAATGGCATAATATTTCTCCTTATTAATATTCCTTGAAGGGCTGATAAAATCACACTTGCGGCAAGTAAGAGGGCTTTAACCTGCAATGCGTGGAGCCATTGACGATCGAGCACGCTCCCCCATTCAGGCACCAACCAGTTGTACATGTAGAAACTGCAATGGAGAGAGAGTGTTGTTCTATTCACGCTTTGAAAAAGGCAGGTAGTTTAATGGGTAAAACGTTGCAGCCAAATAAAGAAATAAATAATATCCTAAATAATTCATAAAACTTATTAGTTATTAATAATGCATGAGCTATTACTCCAATAGTCTGTCCATTTAATCAGGTGATTGACCTGATACAACAATATGAGACAACACTAGAGTTGTATAAGATTTACAACACGGCCGTCTCAGTTTTWGTATCTCATCATGTACTTTCACTAGATTTTGAAGCAATAAAAAACATATAGCAGCACTCCCTTATGCAACAGAATAGCAATAAAATAATAAAATAAATAAAATAGAAATACTTTTAATTTATYATGGATTCTGGCTGCAATTTTCACATTCTTACTGGTATACGGAAAAACTTTTAAACTACTGCGCTATGTTAGCCACGCCCTTTTTSATATGGTCGATACATACTTATAACTATAAAACCAATGCCGATACGTATACCGATTGGCTCAGTTGGTTGAGCATCGTGGGTTCAAACCCTGGCCGGACCAATACTCAGGGTCTTAAAATAATTGAGTAGAAGTTGCTGCCTTTGTTTCTCCATCTGCARATGGTRAGATCTTCCCGTCCTCTCGGATAACGACGTTAAATCGGAGGTGCCGTCTACTCTACTCTAACCCTGTAAGTGGACGTTAAARAACCACTGAGGAYGCAGGTACGACCATCCTCAGTGTCTGTACTTCGGCCGCATAACCTTGAGGGCACTAACACACTAACGCACTAACAATTCTAACTTCCTCGTGTTTGTAAACTGCACGGCTGCTTAAAGCGCCTTCAATAGCAGTCTGACCAAGACCCTCACAATGTAATCCAGATGTAATTCAGATCATTGGTCTGCAAAATCTGGAAAGTCGACTACACATATCTCTATTGCTCTCTATCTCGCAGCTCCCCCTTATATGCTTATTCTATGCAATAGAGTGCACGCCACATAAGCATGAAACAATTCTTAAGTAATTAGCGCCTAATAAGATTTAGTTATCAACTAACTAAGAATTTAGTGAGGCATAAACAAAGACAAGTTTCCTTTCTGGCATTGTGTTCATGCCCCACTAAATTCTTAGTTAGTTGATAACTAAATCTTATTACATGTTGATAGTTAAGAATTCTTTCACGCTTTTTTGGCGTGCACTCTAATTTTCTGTTTTTATATTGTATATTATTAATTTAAATATATAGGAGAGAGTGTCGGGAGCACGTAAGATACGCTGTCGGCTGAAGACTATACCAAGATAAGTCAGCGAATAGACTAGTTTGTATCCCGTGAGGCACGGGATCGTGACGTTATCCAAAACAAAGCTCGCGCGCTTATGCCAAGAAAAGCAATGAAAGCACAATATCCACCTGAATTAAATCCATATCTAACGCGTTTAAATCCATTTTAAAATCTAAKGAGTGGATAGCCTTAACCAATAGATTATATTATCCACCCTTCATACAATCCGCCCCTGTTTTTCGTAAATCAAACTATTTATCAACATATTTGGAAATAGTTGCCTTTCGAGATTTTTTTCACTGTGGCTCAATTGACAAATTTTGCTAAACTCGTGAGATTTCAAAGTACTGTTTATTGTGTTCTATACTCWCAAGTGTTTTGAATTTTCACGTGCGGTTATGGAAGAGAAGAATAAGGAGGTCGCCAAAAGGGCTCATAAATGCAATGCAGTCAAAATATATAAGCAAATAAATGCATAAAACATTTCATGAAAAAGTCGGCTGCCTGTGGACTTTTAGGTCTTTTAGAGTTTAAATGTTGTAAGATTACCGCATCCTATACGGTATATGGCAGTCCCTAATCCGGAATAAGAGGAATGTTGCTGTGTTGAACGAGAGTGCGGGAGTGTTTTGTCTGGATAGAGTACAAACACTAAAACTGTGCAACATAAATACCACTAAATACTGCTAAATTATGCTAATTCTATTGTTTTGTATTGTTTGATTAACACTATTTTGTAGTAAATAGTGGAAAGTGTTGCACACATTTAATGTTTGTACTCTATATAGATTCGAGCCAAATTAAAATATTTTTATCCCACACGTAAGAACGGCTAATAGTCTATGCTAAACTGCAAGTCTGCACATTGATTCGAGATTTTAAAAAACCTAGCAAAGGTCTATGATGGGACTTTAAAACTGAGACCTTTGCTAGTGTTACGTTGCGATAAAGCGCTGATGAACTTGAGCATCAGTTCTTCATATATTTTATAGAGCTGATTAAGAAAACATCAGTACTTTATCGGGATAATGGCCCATCATATGACCAAATAGTTCGAAACTCATTGAACTAAAAGCTCATGAATTATCATTGAGTTCTAGAATTTATTTTGCAAATGGTAGATTGGCCTCAGACAAGATTTCGATTACTTACTTTGCTTCGTGAAGGCATCTTCGACGGCGATGGTAACTAGGCCTAAGGCCAACACGACAGTTCCTTTCAATGTCTATAATAATAATATAACAGAGTGTAAAGCCTGYTTAGCGAGCTGCTACACAGGCTAGACACATTGCAACCTTTTWTTGCGCAATAYTTRAAGATATCCGTGCTACGGAGCTACAATATTGTAGATCAAATCATCTTCACGGTAACGCGTAAGTCTTCGGAGTGGTTCTAGTTTATCAGTAAAGCATAAAGAGGTCATTGAACCCGTGAAAGAAAATATAAGAACATTGTTTTCTTTTGTATCTATTTCACCACCATTAATATTCAGATTTTCTTTCACGAGTTTATAACTTCAATCTCATTTGAAAAATTGATTAGTTTACAGACTTTGTAAATAAATATATATTTTTTCACTGGATGGTAAATTGAATTTTCATGTTCCTGGCTGTGAGATTTTAGACTTTAAGTARCAATGCGTTTAAGAACTRGTTTCACAAAGTTTCTTTTGTATTAAATGCTCTTATCCAATCATAAGCACTCCAAACAATAGCCAAAAGATGCTTCTAATTTGCTATGTTCCCCACATAGAATCTTCTTGATGTTGAAGCTAAAGAAAGCGTTCATGAAACCGAAAGCAGACATTAAATAAATTAGAAAATAACTTAACTTGTGAAATTATACCAGATTTTCATGTTTCAACCAATGGGATGAATAGATGATTATACAATACACAATTTGCACTTCTTGCATTCCTTTGCCGTTTGCTTCCCTAGTTCTTACTCGGGCCATTACTGAAGGCTGATTTACACGGCACGATTGTCTCGTGCGATTTGTAGTATACGACTGAATTGCGCAGTGTAAATGCCCCTACGACTTGTCTACARCAGTCGTACGCAACGTACGACTTGTAGAAGGTTTTTGAACCACTGCTTAAAATCCTACGACTTGTAGTAGGAAAATCGTATACTACAAGTCGCGCACGACAAATCGTACCGTGTAAATCAGCCTTTAAGTGCATTCGTGGATGAGACAATTCAATGCTCTCTGATAATTTTCAATTTGAACACCTCACMTCGGATTCGCGCTTTGCTTGGAGCTATTTTTTGCTAGAGAGCGTCATTGAAACATGCATCTATCATGACAACAGAATTACCATTTACTTAAGGTTTTAGAAGTGACTACACTCTAATAGGCCGTATATTTTGCACCATGTATACTACTTTCAACTCACCAACATCTTTATAGCTTTTACAGGATTCTACTGACGATCAGATACCTTGTCGTCTAGRATGGAACTGATCTACAAAGACTGTTTATCATATCATATTAATATAGTCCCGGGGGAGGGGGAACTCCCTTATGAAAGAGTACGTACAGGGATGCTTTCCGTCCCCTTTATGGGTTGAAATCTGYAAATATTTGAAAATGAACAAGAATACATATACAGCCAATCGCAATAATGGTGTTTACTTGTAAAAACATATTAAAAGACAACAACGAATTCATTTGCATAAACATTTTTTATTGCGTGGGAGAATCGTAATACTAAAGATCTATAGGGACTGCGCAATATTTATCAGGAGTGGGGCTGGGTGGTTAGAATCCAGAGTTTGGGGGTTGCAAAAACTAATTCTATGTACTTAAAAGGGAAGAGGGGCACGGTCTAACATTAACTACAACTGCAAAATAAACAGCAATACTTTTTTAGTCATAAACCATAGAACAGTAGAAGCGGTGTAATGCTTTAATATCGAAATTTGAGTGCGTGTTCATTATTCCTTTCTAGGGGTGAATCAGTACTTGCACATCAGRWGTTTCATCAACCTTCCCCCGGAAAAATATTATGCTCTGTCTGAATTCCGCAAACTCAGAGACAAAAAGGTCAATGGAAAACGGATGTTCACTACAATGCCKTGAAATTCTTTGGTTTATGGTTTCTCTGGCCACAAGACAACAGGAAAACTTTGATTTGACAACGATTACGAGTTTAAGTACAAGTTCAAAATTTAAAGAATGGTTTTCGGTGACACTACGGCAGCTTTAATAGTTGAGTTTCGCGATCTCTTTTACACTTAGCCTCAATTGTGTGCTAAAATATTCAGAAATGTACATAACACACGTGAGATTTCAAACTATTCCCATTGTCTTCTATATTCACGAATCTCTTGCATTTGCACGGGCTGTTGAGAATAAAAGAATTTATTACATGGTTTTGAGGCTAACACAACGGAAAAGAGATTAAAAAGGGTTTATTTGTACTTAAACAATGGCCACTTTCCTGTTCTAATGGCGGCCATGTTGCATATGTAAGCAGTCGTATTCCACTCCCCATCAAGCAAAAACGGATCTTGAGCGTAACGACAATGCTTGACCTCAATTCTTTTTGCGAGGGAATTTCGTGTTGCTTTTAAAACGTCTTGAACGAGGATGACAAAAATTAACAAAGCAGTGTGGTTCCTTAGTTAAAATGTGTTATTTTCTCGTGTTTCACTTCAAATAGACCTCGAAAGTTTTTACGTCATGAACCGTACACGCAATGCATTATAGGATATGTGGGAGAGAACATGGTGGATTTATTTTGCTTTCTCTAGAAACTTATCCCATAATGCATTGAAAATCAATAAGTGACTAAAAGGTTCAGAAGTCTATTAAAGTGACTTGTATACGGTCCTCATATTGCAATAAACTACTCACAGCAGACCTCACAGCCTGAAACTACAAGTTGGGATTTATATTCTTATATATTTTAAGAATTCTTGATGTTCAACCACATGACTAGGAATCCCCTGAGAAATGAAGACCAAGCTAACGCCGCCATTTTGGATGAACCCATTTCCATTGCTGTTGGTTGAGCAACACACACAAAACAATGTTTAGTTTATAACTCACTGCAATTAGCGGTATTTAGGTCTAAAGTATATAGTTAATTAGGACCACGTAAGGGTGAATGACGCAAGAAATTCATCGACACTGTTGTTATATTTTACATATTTTATTACACGCTCTTGAAAATTACAACTGAGTATATAAAATATATATCATCGTAAAACAGATATTTGAAAACCACTTTCAGAACACTGGAATAAAAAAAACTATTAAAAAAGACTTCGGTCACTTTTGCTATTTACCCACATTAACAGTCATCATCTTTCAGAACARTTCTGGCTAAGTGCAAACAAATGCATAATATTCTACACTCATGTGAAAGCTCTATTCATGCGAAGATGTTACGTATTCCACCAGAGCTCCAGGTCATATGGATCTTCATTGACCGGTTTTGTTGCTACGCCGCCCGAAATGAACGCCGGAAAAAGTCAAGTCCTTTTATCAAACATGACATAACGACTGGTACTTGTTAGCCTCAGTTGSAATAGAAATTATCTCTTTCTTAAACCGCATGGCYTAATTACAACTATGGCCTCACGGTAAGCCTTGGTAAGTGGTTATGATGTTACTATTGTAATACATAAAAACATTCCATAAATAACTTATAAAATACGCTGATAACAAAAAAATTGATACAAACACGAAGGTACTGATACTGATGACTGGTGAATCAATCTAGATCAGCCAGAGACAAATCAAGAGATTGAACCGAGTAATCACCACACTATTATCCATTCAAAACTAAGATTATGATAGTAATGAAAGTGCTTATGAAGAGTGAAGGAAACAGACTTGTTAAAGTAGGACTGAAAAACAGGACAACAAAAAAGTTGGCAATGATAACTGAAGAGGCTAGAAGTATTGAAGGCAATATAATCGTATTGAACAGTGAGGGAGTACAAGATGTTAAGGAATCCTATGTTAAGCAAGCAAGAAAGAAGGAAATCATGATTGTCAACAACTAAAGGCGAGTTTTATGCGAAGAATGGACAGTGAGAGGAATAGGACGGTACAACCACTGCTACGGCAATAGATGTGAAACTTAGAAAACAACMAATTGCAGGAGTGAGTACAAATACATTCAGAGAAAAGGCATTAGTCAGACTAACTTTAGATAAAATGGCAGCAAAGGAAGTTTAGCAAGAGAGTAGGAAGAAGCATGATGTTGAAATTATAAGCAATAAGATGAGAGGAGAGACGGTTTGATGAACGAGGTTAACGTGTATGTTCATGTTTTGTCGGGCTGAGATCAAGGTATSGCCGTTTTCAGAATCACCTCTAAGAATGTACAGCCAGCACTGAATAGAATAAAACGGCGATAGCATGACGGCTTTGKAGTGGGCTACCGTATGGGAAACCAACTTGAAAAAGTCGAGAAAAGGACAGTGGTTTTTTTTGGCCTCCTTTGCGTACATGCTTTCTTCCTAAACGTTCATGATGATTGTGTGTGGGAGCCTTATATAAAAATTTTAAAAACTCTTACATAATCATTTCTTACACAAAATCTCTATTGGAGCTAAAAATACCCAGCGTAATGACGCTTTTCAGTGCAATGTCCGTCTGTGGAATCTTTCACTTTTCGACCTCAAAAAGCTCGGAAASTGAACCATTCTACAGACGGACATWKCACTGAAGAACCATACCGCTTTCTGACAAACTTTTTAGCCGCACAACTCATACTTATGAATTAGAGAATAGAATGAAATTACCCGCATCGGAGCAAAATCGCGAGTAAAGCCTGGTTTCCATATAATCGYTACGATAACCATGTGATTAAACAACCCTAGCGTTCCTATGGAAACACTCTCCAGCGGTACGTCCTAGCGATCTCCATGCCTGGAGCCAGACATTGTATCGCTACCATCCTGGCTATAATATGGAATAACTGACTCCAGTGATTGGAATGTATCCCAATATGCAGTGCAAACTCCAATATTYAGTCTTTCTTTGACTGTTGCCATCAAATAGGAAAACTGTCGCCAGGATCGCCAGAATAGCAGTGATCGTAACGAGTATGGAAACCAGGCTTCCACAGCCAATTTCGGCCAATTCTATTTTTTAAAACCTCTTTTTTCTTAGTTGTTTCTTTTTTTCTTCCTGTTTTGTTTTGTTTTTGTTTTTCTTGTTTTTTCCCCTCTTTTGGTTYTTTYCTCTTCTGTTTATTTCTCTTTTTGCTCTTTTCTCTTCTGTTTTTGTCTCTTTTTGTTCTTTTCTCTTCTGTTTTGTTCTCTTTTTGCTCTTTTCTCTTCTGATTTTTTTTGTTCTTTTCTCTTTTGTTTTTTTTT